TAATCCACAACCACAAAATGGTGGCAAAACATGTTCGGGCATAAATACAGAAGTAACTAATTGCACAGTTCATGGTGGCTGGACTGAATGGTCTGCTTGGTCGTCATGTTCTCAAACATGTGGCGTTGCTATTAAAACTCGAAGACGTAGTTGTGGAAATCCAAAACCTGCACATGGTGGGCGCACTTGCGTTGGCTCAGAACATAACGAAATGTACTGTCAACATTTACCACCATGTCCAATAGCTAAACCACAGGGAGTCGATGGCGGTTGGGGTCCTTGGGGTGATTGGAGTGATTGTACAGCACAATGTGGTGGTGGATTTCGCATACGTCGACGTGAATGCAATAATCCAAGTCCACAAAATGGTGGACAAGAATGTGCTGGTTGTCATACTGATTATGAAATCTGTAATATACATGAATGTGCAGAAGTGAAGAAACTTAGTTCTTGGACACCTTGGTTGGTGCAAAATAATGAAACTAAAGATGGTACACATGTGGAGCGCCGTTTTCGTTTTGCTTGCAAAGCAATTACTATGGATTCAAGCTCATTACGCATAACTTTAGCAAAGGAAGAGTCACGAGTATGTCGTGCTGATGGTAGCTGTCAGCGGCATGCAAATGAAGAAGAAGTACCAGATCACGTACCCGAATGGGGACCCTGCAGCGTTTCTTGCGGGGGTGGTACACAACATCGCTTAGTTGAAGGTAAACAACATCGTGGAAGACATTCACAGAGTCGTATATGTAACACGAGTGCATGTCCGATTTCTGCCAATTTGAACGAAGTGATTTTGGCACATGAGTGGAGTTGTTGGACAGATTGGTCACCTTGTTCAGTTTCTTGCGGTGTTGGTATAAAAAGGCGTACACGCAAATGTTTAGGTGGACATGAGAAATTGTGTAATGGCCGTGCGGTAGACGAAGAAAAATGTGAAATGCGACCATGTGAAGGTAGATTGCAATATAATTTTTAATTTATTTTATTCAATAAGTAATCTTTTCTAACAGATTATTTGGGTTGGAGTGATTGGAGTGAATGGTCAGATTGTTCAAGTGAAGGAATTCGTTTCAGACATCGTAAATGTATAGTCGAAGCGCCAGAATCTGGTGAATGTCGAGGAAATGAATTTGAGAAAACTGCCTGTGTGCCAGGATTTTGTGAAGGTAATAATATAAAATATGTTAAATGTATATATAAATCAATAAACTATAAAATTAAATATATGGATGATAAATGATATATGAATTTTTTTTTTCACTAATTAAAAATTTTTTTTTTAATTATTAGGCACTCAAATGGCATCAAGTACTACACTGGCCACTATTATAGCACTTGTCATCCTTCTCTATGTTTTAACCATTTTTATGACTTTCTGGTTTACTAGAAGACATTTTATGCCACAGGTTCCTGTGCTAAAAAACAATACACCAACATCGAGTTACGATTCGTATCCAAATCAATATTCTAGCCTGCCAACAAAAGACGTGAGTACCATAATACATATAAGTCTATTGAACTTAAATTAAAATTTCTTTAACATTTAATTACAGTACGATGTACGTCCTAAGGTTAAACGTCAGAGTAGTTTTACAGCATGTTCACCATCTAAACACCTGAATACTGGGACCTTAAATCGTAATAATATGAACCACAATCACACTCCAAAGGTGCTTGCCAAAACCTATAACGACTGCGAAACGGGCACTTTAAAAAGGAACTCCCATGCATTAAATAATTACCGCACGAACATTGATGACGAGAAATTTTAATTCAGAGTATAGTTTTAATGAATACTACATAAACTTACTGCCTTTAAATGTATTTCCATTTAACAACTATTTAAGTATCTCCTTGTGCCATTACTGCCAAGAAGTCTATAGGACAAAAATTTTACCTATTTTCGATATTCGTGAAATTTGTTAATTTTTGTTGGCTTAATTTAACATTAAAATGTTGAATTTTTTAATTTAAGAAATTTAATGGTATTTTGACTCATATTGAGTTGGTTTGAAAATTATTATTAAGTTATTTTAAGAACTTAAAAACAAAAGATTTTAAAACATAAAAATTATTTCGTTTTCACTTTTTAAATTTGTTATTGTAAAAAAGACTGATTTTCGCTATCCCTTTAAAAATTATATTTAAATAAAATTCATATGCAATCAAAATCAAAATTTTTAAAAAAATAAACCAGACGCAATATATGTATATACATTTTATATATAAAAATAAATTTATTAAATAAATTGTAAATTTTTATAGGTAAGGTAATTTTGTAAAAGTGTAGATATTAAGAAATACTTCTAAATCAATAAAAATTTACTAACAAATCATGTGTTTTTATTAATTGGAGCATTAAAGCCAAGTAATTATATACTTGTAACAGGGAAATTAGAAATTATTGAGAAATATGAAAGAAATATCAAGTATGATGAAGAGACAAGCAGAGTTTCTGATCAATAAGTGTTTATTTAATCCTCAATATTTATTTCAGTTGTTAAGTTTCATTCGTTCGGTACGGTCGAGTGCTTTATACTAGGCCACGTGCAACGTTGTTGTTTCATTTTTTAACATATATTGTGTTGAATGATATAATAATATTGATATATATATATATATATTAACTATTCACTTAATTAAAAGTTGAACTTCTGACTTGTGGTAGCAATTTGTGAGTTTGTTGAGTTTAGGCGCGGTGTTTGGAAACGTGTTCGCTTAAAAACAAAAAAATTAAAAAAAAAAAAAAACAAAAAAAGCAACTCGTCATAGTACGGCATTGTAAGCTGTGCTTCGAGTTCAACTTCAATAGCTTGATTTGTGGCGGTTCGTGTCTGTGGTGTAAGCTTATGAGCTTACGTGATAGCGTGTTTGCGAGATAAGCTAAACCTATCTACTGCCGCTTTCAGTACGGTCTCGCATCTACCTAGTAAAATTTCAAGCCAATAGGGCATCCACTAGTTGTATTCTCCTTACTGATTTTATTAATCTTTAAGGGGAGGCGCAAAGTGTTTGTTTCAATTTCGGCTAAATGCACATTGTTCTTGTGCATTTAAAGATCCTGCTTGTGAATTGTTTGGTGTGTTGTTATCTTCTTCCTGTCGATTTTGGAAAAAAAATCGTATTTGGAGGAAGCAATAACCTTTGGAGTTGTACTGTTTTAATTTGCACATCAACTCCTATTCTTGGTGAGTGTTGTTGCAAAAACTTCATTACTTTATGTATATTCTTTTATATTATATATACTATTGTATTACATTATACATTATTGTAGTATATATATTATATATATTATATTATTTATATATACATATTGTATTGTTTGTATTATTCATTACATTACTCTTATTTACAATTGTAGTTATATGTGTGCTTATTTGAAATTATATTATTTGCATTTACATCTATAATTATACTTTAATTATATTCGTACTTGTATTTATTTTCATAAGTGTATCTGTACTATACTGTATTTATAGTAGTATCTATATTTGTAATTATATTCACATGAAATTATATTCAATTACATTTAATTAAAGGAAAAAAAAAAAAAATTAAAAAATTAAATTACATTCACATTCAAATTTATATTTAGTATATATTGTATTTATTTACACTTACATTTATATATCTCACTCATTATCTATTTCACGTTCATTTTTCCTTATTCTTTCCTTTCCTTCCAAAATTTTTCTCACCTTTTAAATAATATCTTAACTCCTTGAGTTTGCTATTCTCTTCCACAATTATGGAAGATGGAGATGGAGACCCGCAATCCTGTAAGGTTAGCTCTGATAATAGATCGATCTCTCCATCCCCCACTTTGAAACGACCTAGAACTGTCGTTGGCCCCCAAAACCGTAAGCAAGTCGATGAGCAACTTGCGTCTGTTTTGAAATCCGTTGCAGCCCTTAAGGCTGACAACGCCCGGCTTCGTTCTGAGAACGCCTTCCTTGCCACTAAGCTGGCTCTGCTCACGGACAACTTACCAAAGTCTTCCTCTTCTTCCATTATCGCTGCTACTGCACCCCCCTCTACCTCTACAGCTGCCGTTTGTAGCACTTCTAGTCTCCCCAAGCCAGCGCCAAAACCCAAATCTCTTTCTAGCGCTAATCCCATCAAGCCTTCTTTAGCGCCCAAGGTCCCTGTGGGACTCAATCCCTCCACTCCGTCTACTGTTCTCTTGCCTTCGGCTACTAAGTCTTCGACGCCACCAGCCATTACGGCCCGTGGCGTCAACGTCAAGGAGCTTGGCTCCGCTATTAAATTCGCTTTTCCCAATGCTGTTTATGAGTTTAAGTGCGTAAACAGCACAACCACGCGTATCCTTACTAAGAGTAAGGATACCTTTTATAACATCAGTTCTCTGCTCCGTGAGCAGAAAATTAAGAGTTTTGCCTCCATTCCCTCTGAGGACCGAATCACTCCTGTCCTCCTTAAGAACTTTCCCTCATCCTATGATGAGGATGATTTGAAGTCAGCGTTGGTGACGGACTTACCTGAGTTCTCCTTTTCGAAGGTCTCCAAGTTTACGCCCCCCGCGCGCTTCACAAAGCGTAATCCCTCCCGATATGCCAATACCTGCATTTGGGAACTTCATCCTGTCCCTTCCACGGACATTAAATCCCTCTTAAGTGTTAAGCGGCTTCCATCGCTTAACATTATTATATCACTGGAGCAGAAATCTCGCAATGAGATCCCTCAATGCTCTAACTGCCAACGCTACTTTCACACAGCTAAGCTGTGCAACTACCCCCATCGTTGTGTGCGCTGTGGTGAGACACATACTCGTGGCGAGTGTCAACTTCCTCCTCCTGCTTTCGACCCAGTCACTCAGGAGCAACTTGCAGCCACTATTCCCAAGTGCTGTAATTGTGGTCAGACTGGTCATCCGGCCAACTACCGCTGCTCCAAATTTAAGGAGTTGCGTTCTCTTCGCGCCAGTAAGACTCGTGCGCAAAAAATCCCCCCCCTCATGTCTATCGACCTGAGGGCTCCAATAAATTTCGTGAGACCTGGAGTCTCATTTGCCTCTGCGGCAAAAGCTGCAACCCCCAAGCCTACTTCGCTGCCTAAAGCAGCTAAATCTTCCCCTATTCGTACTCCTGAGCCTGACTCCTTTCTCCCTGATATTCAGGGAATCTTCGCCTTTGCTGCAGGCATTAAACAGCAGTACAGCCTTTTGCCCCATTCTGACAAGAAAGCCTTTCTTGTCCAGAAAGTTCTCGAATTGGCATTGAGATGAATGATCTAAAGATCATTCTCATTAATGTCAATTCTATACACTCCATTCTTAGGCGTACTTTTTTAGCGGATTTTGCTGAACGCAACAACCCCCATATCATCCTTGTGACTGAAACACGGCTCAATTACAGAGACGTTGTTGATGTCAGAGGATATAATTTTATCCGGTTCGATAGGGACGGCATCGGTGGGGGAGTCGCCATTTTGGCAAAAGACTCTCTCAAGTGTTCTAGGATTCACATCCCTTCACTTGTTTCTCTTGAGGCGGTTGGCATTACTCTTTCTCTCTCCAACCGCCCTGATCTTAACATCTTTTGCGTCTACCACACTCCCTCTATTGCTTCGTGCATTGTCCCTTGTGATCTGGGCACCCTTGCCTCCTTGTCCCCTAACCCTTTCCTTATCGGTGGTGACTTCAATAGTAAGCACCCCTTTTGGAATAATTCTGCCTCTTGCCCTAGTGGCACTAGGCTATTCAACTGGCTGACTAGCAGCTCAGTCAGTCCTGTTTTAAGTGTGGTAGCTCCTTCGGTTCCGACTCATATTAATAGTATCATTGATTTTTTCTTAGCGGATAATCGCCTCCTTTCCTGCCTTAGTGACCCACGAGTCATTGACGGCATATCTGACCACCAAGCAGTAAGGCTTGTGCTTCACGACTGCAGAGCTGCTCGTGCCTGCCCTCGCACTTTTTTTAACTTTCCTAGCACCAACTGGTCGGAGTTCAACCTCGCTCTCGACCACCTCCTTCTTAATTTGAGCATTCCCGAATACAGGAACATGACTCCTGTGGAGATTGATTTTGCTGCCCGTACTCTTGAAAGCATTTTCACCTCCACAATTGAGGACCATGTTCCGAAGGTGCGTGTTCGCAAATTTTATCAAGTTCCTCTTGATGCTTCTACCCTTCTCCTCATTAACCTGAGGAAATCGCTTCGCCGCAGAACTTATCGCCTTAGACAGGTAGCTTCACCGCAAGCTCATGCGTTCCAAGCCATTCTTAAGAACCTGGACACCATAATTGCCCAGAGAGTCAACCAATCCAGGTTTAATTCCATTAGTGCCAGACTTCGTGCCACTCAGTGCCGGTCTGACGTCTTTAGTACGGTCAGGCAAATCTGTGGATCCAATAGGTCCATCTCAGACCTCCGCTATGGCAATTCCATGGTGTATGACGACCTTGATAAAGCCAACGTCTTTGGTGAAGTCTTTATGACTAATCACCGTCTTACGGCTGGCCTAGGCGAGCGCCACCTTACGTTAACTACGAATTCTGTAGTTCATGGGCTTTTTGATGCTTTCAATGAAAGCATTGTTACTTTCTCCCCGCAGTTTCCCGCTCACTGCATCAATGTTGAAGACACTCAAGGGTTTCTCACCCCTTTTGATCTTATTGACATGCTTCGGCTTAAAGCCCCTAAAAAGTCATCTGGCACTGACTGTGTGTCTTTCTACGCCATGAGGCGTTTCTCACCACTCTTTTTTAAAAAGTGCGCCATGCTCTTCAACCATGCGTACAACACTGGTTCCTTCCCCCAGCCATGGAGGAAGGCCATAGTTTGTCCCGTTGCCAAAATTGGCAAACCCAAAGCTGACCCCTTCAGCTATCGTCCTATTTCTCTTCTCAACTCTGTCAGTAAGCTCTATGAAACCTTCATAGCCAGCAAGCTGAAATCCTTCTCTTCTGGGAATAATATTATTCCCCCTTTTCAGTTCGGCTTTAGGAGCCAAATCTCTACCATCCATGCCCTGCATCATCTCCAAAATGAGATATGCGTAGGCTTTTTTAATAAGCAGCCCACTGTGGCACTAAGTCTTGACATTGAAAAAGCCTTTGATACTGTCTGGTTTGAAGGCTTAATCCTTAAGCTTCACCAGTTCGGCTTCTCTCCTACGCTCTGCAGTGTTGTCCACAAATTTCTTTCTAACAGAACCTTTCAGGTTCGAGTCGGTTCCTCTCTGTCACGTGATTTCCCCATCGATGCTGGCGTCCCTCAGGGCTCGGTTCTTGGACCCCTCCTTTTCAACCTGTTTATAGCAGATATTCCACTCCCGCGGACCCCTATTAAGCAAATCTGCTTCGCAGACGACTGCCTTGTCTTCATGCGCTCGTCTAATCCTTTCCGCGTCTCCAATGAGCTTAATGCCCACCTTAAATCTCTTTTTGACTACTATACCAGGTGGAAGATTAAACTCAATCCTTCCAAGATCTCTGCCATTGCCTTTACTGGCCAGCAGCGTGATCGTCCCAGAGGTTTTAGCACCTCTAATATTAAGCTCAGGCTTAATAACTCTCCAATTCAGCTTGTTCCCAAGCTGAAATATCTTGGCATTGTTTTCTCTTCCAAACATAACTTCACACCACATATTGACTATGCCATCCGTAACGCCCGGTTCAGGCATACTCAACTTAAAACTGCACTTCGAAGACATAACCAGCTTAACTGCAAAGTTAAGCTGCTCTGCTATAAGCAGCTTATTCGTCCTCTCCTCACTTACGCTTTTCCTATTTGGTCAGCCATCACTTCCGCTCAGATGGAAAGAATCCGCTTGTTTGAGCGGAAACTTCTTCGCGATTGCACTAATTATAAGCGCAAACCTAATGGCAAACACTTTTCCATAACAACTCTCTATAACAATGCCAAGATCACTCGTGTTGACGAGTATCTTCTGTCACTCGCCCGTAGGTATCTCACCCGGCTCCATGACCTTCCCCCCGACGTTTCCATTCCTTCCACTCTCTCAGAAGACTTTGTTCTAGCTTTGCGCTATAAACCCCCCCAATACCTGACTCACTACTTCGACGAAGTGGACCGTAACCTCTCCACTATCCCCTTATATAACCGCGGCTTTCGTGACCCCAGTCACAAAGTATATTGTTGATTCCATCCCCGCTAGTTAGCCGTAACCCCTTCCCCTTCTATATCATCCATCCTACTTAGTTCATGCCCTTGCTTTCTGACTTAGATGAATCTAGTTCACTAGGTATTAAGTCTATTTTCTCATTCCTCTTTCCCATGATTACTGGAATGAAGTTTCCACATTGCTGTGGAAATCTTCTTCATTCATTCCTAAGAGGTGGTTTTAGTGGGCTCAAGTCTCACACTGTGGCTTTCGATGCTTTCCACCTACTGCAAAAAAAAAAAAAAAAAAAAAAAAAAAATATTTATTTCATCCCATTAAATGCAGTTCGTCTTTTATATAGTACTCTTTTATCACTATAGTATTCGGGTTGTGTAGCTTTCATTTAACAAACTCCTTAGATCTTCATGGAAGACAATCGACATTTGTGACATGTGTTATAAAGTAGGGAATGACATTTTAGCTATGCATTGCGTGAGCAGTGGCACAATGGATCAATTTTCGGCAAAAATGCTGTCTATTGGTTAAGTTAGTTTCTATA